CCTGCTGCACCCATGGTACGGCAGCAAAGTTCCTTGATTATTATTCGCAACTTTTCATTTTCCGTCGGTCTTAGTACACGATGTAACTACAGTAGAGTCAAGTTTTAAATAGGAAAAATATAGAAACTCTTTGGTCATTTTTGAGCGAGATGCTAATGGTCTAATCAGATTCAATGATCTATGCTAAGCTACAGCTAAAAGTACTACCACCAGACCTGGAGATCGGCTGAATGGATTCGAAAACGGTAAAACTCAACTGTTTAACTCTAGGGGAGTTGGAAAATGAGCCTATTTTCAAAAATAGTGGAGTGTTCCTTTAACCTTTATTTGCAGTTGGGTGTAGTCAAATGAGCACTCTATGTCAACAATTTTATGTCTGTTTTCACTAAAAAATTCCATATTACTCATCTTGAGACTGTACAACCTTGTTGGGTAGTGACTAATTCATTTAAGCAAAAAAATGAATTATGTTACAGTCAATTAAGTCTAAGTCTATGTCACTGAATTAAGTCAGTGGTTGTTTTCCACTGGAAGTTGTTTTCAACTGGTAAATAATTTTACATACTTTTACAATACTTATAATACACTGAAAGTATGTTAGGATGCCTTGGGCTGAGTATAGAAAATCAAGCTCTTTATTCTTGAGAAAAAGGGCGTCACATGTGACATTTTTCACTGAGGGACCTCGAGTTACAGCGGAGATGACAGTGATGGAGACAGGAAGGAATATACTGATGTGAGAGCCGGAGCTTGTGTTATTAGTGACCCCAGAGCAGCGCCGAGGAATGCCTTCCCTAAGAGAACAGTTTATTTACATTGCAGAGTCATTGGGTTTGTTATGCTGTGTAAGCATACACTGTCAGAACATGGCCGAAATACGTAGATTATATTGTGGGTGTAACTAAAATGGGATATGAGGATTAAATTCAGAATATAAAAACATATGCTACTGTTGGAATTGCTAAAGCAAATGTTGGTTTTGGAAAGAGATTGATACTTCTGTTGACCAAAGTAGTATTTAATTTACCAAAAATACATTCAAAAACGTTATCAATGTTCAAAATGATTATTATAGTTTGAAATAACTGCAGTGCGATCTTCAGAAGCACTTTTTGAGCAGCCATTACTATAAGAAAACACTGTTTTAGGAAAGCATTCTAATGTGCTAATTTTGTAATAGAGAAGCTGTTCTTATTGTCCTGGCCAGCTGAAACCTGCTGTGTGCTATTTAATGAAGTGTGGAAATTGCAATGCATTGTCTTCCAATCATTGCATATACTTGAGAACTTAAATTTTGGGTTCAGAAAAGGCCACAAAAAAAAAAAAAACAGCTTACTCTATAAACTTATTATTTTTTTATTTTTTTTGAGAGATGAAGATTGTTCTTAGGTGTGCTGTCATTTTTGATTAATTTTCATAGTTGTTGGTAAGATTTTTAAATGTTTTTGAAAGTCTTTTATGCTCAACAAAGCTGCCTTTAATTGAACAAAAATACAGTAAAAGCATTAATATTGTGAATTATTATTATTGAAATAACTGTTTGATAGTTGAATACATTTCAAATATAATTTATTCATGATGCAAAGCTGAATTTTCAGCATCATTACTCCAGCCTTCAGTGTCACATGATCCTTCAGAAATAATTTTTGATTTGATTCATGTTGATTTTTTGTTCAAGAAACAAAAGAACAACATTTATTTGAAATAGAAATATGCTATATATAGAAATATATATTTATTTAAAAATATAAATTTTGTAACATTGTAAATATCTTTATTGTCATTTGAATTTTAATGTCATTGTCATTGAAAATGTCTTTTGATTGATTTAATGCATCCTTGTTTAACAAAAGTATTCATGTCTTTAAAAAAAAAACTATTTAAGTCAAACGTTTACAATAGTTTATATATAACCCAATTGTATTTAATGATTCAGTCTTTTTTCCATCTCATCCCACAGACTTTCCTCGGCTCGTAGCTCTCTCCGCACAAAAGTCGTAGCAGGGAAATCTCCCAGAATCCCCTCCTCGAGTCGGGTGGGCAGCAGCGTCTGGGGGCAACAGCCTGAGCAGGTGGACAAAATCTTCCAGGCTTTGAGGAAAGGGCTCAAGTATGTGCAGTCATTGCAGCAGAGAAATGAATGGACACATGGACCACACAAACTAGTCTTGTGAATGTTAATGACATCTCATTTCATATAGGGACTACTTGGAAAACCATCAAACAGAGCTGGACTTCCTGTCATCCCAGCAGAGAGACACAAAGAGGAACTCCAGACTGGTGAGACTTTTTACTAAGAATAGCTTTACACTCTAGGCTTAAGTCGTAATCCTTTTTATTTGACTTTATTTTATTTTTTACATTATTTCTTAATTTAATGTAAATATAAAATAATTAATACAAAAATGTATTCTTCATTCCTCAGGCTTTTTTCTATGACCTGGAAAAGGTAAGTTGTCAGTGAATGCTGATATTCATTCATTTGAGTGTTGTTGTTGTTGTTGTTGTTAGTATTTGTACCATATGTGACCATGGTCCACAAAACCAGTCTTAAAGGAACATTCCACTATTTTTGAAAATAGACTCATTTTCCAACTCCCCTAGAAAGTAGTGCTGTCAAACGATTAATCGCATCCAAAATAAAAGTTTTTGTTTACATAATATATGTGTGTGTACTGTGTAGATTTATTATTACACACACATACAGTATATATTTTGAAAATATTTACATGTTTATACATTTATATATTCATTTTCTTATATTTTATATTAAATATAAATATATTTAATATATAAACATAACATATTTTTCTTAAATATATACATGTATGTGTTTGTATTTATATATACATAATAAATATACACATATTATGTAAACAAAAACTTTTATTTTGGATGCGTTTAATCGCGATTAATCATTTGACAGCACTATTTAAAATACATTAAAGTAGAAAACTGTTCTTTTAAATTGTAATAATATTTGGCAATATTCCTGTTTTACGGTATTTGTGATCACATAAATACAGCCTTGGTGCACATAAGAGAAAAGCATACATCCTCAAACTTTTGTACGGTAGTGTATTGTCCAAATACTCATTGAGGCCATTGCACATTTCACACACACACACACACACACACACACACACACTCACACACACATTGAGTGTCTCATTTTGTGTAGGTGTTGATCCGGCTGGGCCGACAGAGGTGGAGAATCAGAGGGCGAATCCAGACTGATGACAGACAGCTGTGGGATGAAGAAGAGATGGTCTTCCTCCCTCACATCCATGGGAACTTTAAGATTAAGGTGAGCAAGTCCACCTATACTCATGCACATACCTGCGCAAATAGCACTTCCTGTCGAGGTGGGGGTTGCGATGACAGAAGTTTCCAGGGCTTTTGTCCTTATACTGTTTGTTAGATCTGAATAGGTTGTCATATGACACAATAAACCTCCCACAAACCCCTGAGAGAGAACGATAGAGATGTTTAACAGACTTTATGAAGCTTTTGGACCAGTGGAATAACGCTTATGAAAGGTTGATTGTCTGAAATTGATTCCATCCCTGAAAATATAGACATCGAGCCAAACTACTACAGATGAAAATTATGAATCCTCTTTCTCCTTTTTTAAACCCCTGTCATTCAAAATCAGATCTCAAGTGTAAAATTCCAAATTAGTTAAACTCGGTTACACACCCAGAACACCCTAGCAACCACCAAGAAAAAACACCTACTGCAGCATAATGATGGAGTCAACATTTTTTTGTTAGTGCCAACAGTACAGTCCATCCTGAGAGACCTTTGGGCCACTATACATGATAAAGCAGAAGGTTAAACAAATAATTTCCCTCAAAAACTCTAGTCACGCCAACAACATCTGCTGGATCTGAGGCTTTTCTGAAATGTCCTGCAGGTAACAGAGGTCAAGGGGTTGAGCTCTATCCTGGTCGGCATGGTAACGTGCAGGAGTGCAGATTTTTTCACAACACGGCCGCAGATGATGGTTGTGGACATTACAGAGCTGGGAACCATCAAGCTACAGCTAGAGGTGGTTTGGAAGTAAGTTTACAAGACACACAAACTTATAAAGTGCTTAAAGTGCTGTGCAATACTTGAAAGTGATTGATGGGGCACTTTAAGACATTATTGACTTTATTTAATGTCAGTGACACTGAACTCTTATCAACTTTTACATACATCTTGTACACTTCTGTATAAAACTTTTGAGTTCAGATTTTTTTTTTTACAATTAGTACTATATAGAAAGGGTGAATTAAAATGATTAAAAGTAAATACTTTTACATTCATACAAACTATTTCGTTTTCAAATAAATGTAGTCAATTTGAACTTTCTATTCATCAAAGAATCCTGAAAAAGTGTGACAATGAAGCAGCATAACTGTTTTCAACATTGATGATAATAAGAAATGTTTCTTGCACATCAAATCAGCTTATTAGAATGATTTCTGAAGAATCATGGAGTAGTGATGCTGAAAATTCAGCTTTGCATCACAGAAATAAATTACATTTTAAAATATAGTACAATAGAAAGCTGTTATTTTAAAATGTAATAATATTTTACAATATTACTGATTTTTGCTGTATTTTTGATCAAATAAATGCAGCCTTGGTGAGCTTAAAGAGACCTCTTTCAAAAGCATCTTAAAAAAATCACATTTGTGACCCTGCAACAGAAAACCAGTCTTAAATCGCTGGGGTATATTTGTAGCAATAGCCAAAAATACATTGAATGGGTCAAAATGATTGATTTTTCTTTTATGCCAAAAATCATTAGGATATTAAGTAAAGATCATGTTCCATGAAGATATTTTGTAAATTTCCTACTGTAAATATATTAAAACTTAATTTTTGATTAGTAATATGCATTACTAAGAACTTCATTTGGACAGCTTTAAAGGTGATTTTCTCAATATTTTGATTTTTTTTTTGCACCCTCAGATTCCTGATTTTCAAATAGTTGTATCTCAGCCAGATATTGTCCTAACAAACCATACATCAATGGAAAGCTTATTTATTCAGCTTTCATGTGATTTATAAATCTCAATTTCGAAAAATTTACCCTTATGACTGGTTTTGTGGTCCAGGGTCACATTTGTAAGAACCGCAAATGAGAAAGGCCTCCCTAGGGCAAGATTTTCAGCAAATAACAACTTCGGTAGGGCTTCTGAAAAATTGGATTGTAGTGCAAAAGTGAGCTTGACAGCTCCTAAAACAGTACAGAAAGATACTAGATGCAGTTACAGCGAGGATAGAGTTCGTAAGAAAAGCTCAGATGTCGTGACGGTTAGTTTAATGTTTTAACATCTGGATTTCACAAACATGAAAACAGTAAGAGTGCTATTCGCAGCATATTTTCACAATTTTTCATGTAATTGAGTAGACAAGACACTGATCTCACACACAAACACACCCCCTGTAAGTGCGCCGCTGCTATCGGCTAACACACACCAGCTGTGGAAGACCAGCTGACTGCAGAGAGAAGGATAAATAGTCCATCGCTTCCCCATCCCTCTCACACACACCGATCCAATTACACCGCTCTTTACACAGTCCAGGTGGAAAAGATTTTTCAGAGCCTCTTTTTACAGCGTCACTAAATTAAACACATCTCACAGTCTGTTCAGCATCTCCACGCTCTGCTGTGACTGTGTGTGTGTGTGTGTGTGTGTGTGTGTGTGTGTGTGTGTGTGTTTTAGTTTATTGCTGTCACATCATTTCCTCTGGTTCTGCTTAGTCTCTGTTAGCAGTGTCTTTCTTCATCAAGCAGTGATGACAAACACATACTGCCACTGCACACATCATGTGCAACCAGAACCTGAGTTAGTTTTACTTTCGAATATAGACAGCTGTATATATGATAGTGCTGTTTTGTCAGATCATTCTCCCATTTTTATTGGGAGAATTTGGGATGCTAATTTTATTTGGAGTAACAGGAAGCCAAGACTGAGAATTTCTTGACTATATCTGCCATGTGAAAGGGGAGGGCTCTAACTACCAAATTTCTTTTGGTACTTAATATTAGGCTGCTCAGTTGAGGGCTGCATTGTTCTGGTTCTCTAGTGAAGTCGCTGTGCCGTGGTTACATGTTGAAAAGTTGGCTGCAAAAGGCTTGACACTTGACAGCTTTTTATTTTCAACACCCCTTAAAGAACTAAAAAAAAGGACAGACATTTGTAAAAAATACTATTGTAATCTGGTACGAAGCCCATAAATGTGACCCTGGAGCACAAAACCAGTCTTAAGTCGCTGGGGTATATTTGTAGCAATAGCCAAAAATACATTGTATGGGTCAAAATTATCGATTTTTCTTTTATGCCAAAAATCATTAGGATATTAAGTAAAGATCATGTTCCATGAAGATATTTTGCAAATTTCCTACCGTAAATATATCAAAACTTCATTTTTGATTAGTAATATGCATTGCTAAGAACTTCATTTGAACAACTTTAAAGGCGATTTTCTCAATATTTAGATTTTTTTTGCACCCTCAGATTCCAGATTTTCAAATAGTTGTATCTCGGCCAAATATTGTCCAATCCTAACAAACCATTCATCAATGGAAAGCGTATTTATTCAGCTCTTTTTGATGATGCATACATCTCAATTTCGAAAAATTGACACTTAAGACTGGTTTTGTGGTCCAGGGTCACAAATATCTTGTGCTTTCCTGCTTTTCTCCTATCTGGGGAAATCATCATTTCAGCCCAGCAAAGAAAGGATATGGGGTTCAAATTGTGGATGAATTAGGGCATGGTTAGATTGAAAGATTTGTATGAAGATAATGTATTAATGTCATTTGATAATCTTGTAACGAAATTTCACATACCTCAGAAACACGTTTTTAAGTATTTGAAATTCAGAAGTTTTATTTTTACACGTTTAAAGAATTCTTCACAACTCCCCCCGATGTTGATATTGGAAACACTCACATTGCAAGATTGCTACATTAAAGGGCGGATTACCCAGTTATATAACATACTAAGAGAAAATCATAAAGAAAGCTCTGAAAATAAAAGACAAGCATGGATCCAAGATATTAATATGGATATTTCATTAGATGAATGGAATACAATTTGTTTAAATGCACAAACACAAACTTTGAACACTTGTTTGAGACTCTTACAATATAATTGGGTAATGAGAACTTGTATAACGCCTGTAAGATTAAATAAATTTAACCCTAATATCCCTGATCTGTGTTTTAAATGCAATAAGCTTCAAGGTACATTTTTCCATTGTGTGTGGGAATGTGAAGAGGTGCAGAAGTTTTGGGTTGGAGTGACTCAATATGTTTCTCAATTTACTTCCTCTCCAATTCCTCTGTGTCCTGTATTGTGTGTATTTGGGTATGTATGAAGACAATTGCTCTTTGCCCACTAAAGAAAGAAAGTTGGTGGATTTGTGTCTATTACAAGCAAGACGTTCTATTGCCCTGTGCTGGAAAAATACCAGTTGCCCTTCCATTGGACTGTGGCTGAAAAACTTAACGTGTTTGGCTCTTGAAAAGCTTACATGTGTAATAAGAAAGAAACCCTCTGAATTTTTTGATATCTGGGAGGTGTTTTTGGACTTTGTTAAAAATGGAGATATTGAAGAAGCTTTAGATGTGTGAAGTTATGGAATGTAAGAAGTGTGTTGTTGTTTTTTTTTAACCTGTCTAGGGTAAGTTTTGGGGAATGGTGTTGGGTTTTTTGAAAAACTTTGTAAAACTCAATAAAGATATGTTATACATAAATAAGAAAAAATAAATAAATTATTAAATTATATTAAAAAAAATTTGAAATAAATTAAATAAGTTTAGGATGTTTATCAAAACTGCATTTATTGAATAAAAAATACAGTAAACCAGTAATATTATAAAATATTACTGCCATTTAAAATTAGTGTTTGCTATTTGAATATGTTTTAAAATGTAATTTATTCCTGTGATGCAAAGCTGAATTTTCAGCATCATTACGCCAGTCTTCATTCTAAAAAAATCATTCTAATATGCTGATTTGCTGCTCAAAAAATATTTAATATTATAATCAATGTTAACGCTTAGGCTGATTAATATTTTTGTGAAAACGGTCATACATTTTATTTTTCAGGATTCTTTGATTAATTGAAAAAACACCATTTTTTGTAACATTGTAAATGTATTTACTGTCACGTTTAATCAATTTAACGCATCCTTGCTAATTCTTTGTTGAATAAAACTTTAATTTCTTAAACTTTTTTGTTGTTGTTTTTTATCGCAAGTTTAAAAATATAACCTAAAAAACATAACTTGAAAGTCACTTTGAGCATTGGGTGGTAGTTTATTTTAGGGCAAAAGTAAGTATAGGAGACTCAGGGACACTCAGAATTATGCTCAGGGTTAGGAGTGGGATTATGGGTAAGGTTATGTTTAAGATTTAAGGGTGTTGTGTAGGGCTGTGGTTAAGGTGGGAGGGGATGTTACACCTACAATTGTGACAATATATGGGCAACAACTAGCTAGATCGGTAGTTATCTCGAAACACAATAGATATTCAAGTTTAAATCCAAACAACCATATATATTTAATCCTTAGACACTAGTCTTCTGCTTTATTCTGTTTACCGTCTGTGTCTTTTCATAAAGTTGCTATTTTGGACATGTAAGTGCACTATAGAGTCCATTTTTCTTCTCAGTTTCTTGTTCCCTCACTTTTTCTTCCTTCAGTCCATTTGATAGCTGTGAGGTGAGGCCTCTCACAGCGTCCGCCAGCCGACAGTCCATCCACAGCAGAAAGGGATCCGTATATAGCTGGACGCCTCCCAACACACCCAGTTTCACTGAGAAATACTTTCTAGTGAGTTTGTGACCTATGTCCACACACACTCCCAGCATGACCGCTCACAACGATTTAAAGGTGAAGTGTGTAATTTCTGATGCTAAAATACATTCTCCTATCCTGGGTTAATGTGCAGAGACAACTATAAGTGAAGCCGGGTGTGCACTGTGAGATTTTATCGTTGCTTTAGGATTGTTACGTGACAGATTGTACGATGTGACCCCAGTGAGATCTTGGGTAAAAGCCGACACAGACTGTGACAAAAAATGATTGAGAAAAATTGTTCTGACATCCTTATTATGAGATGCAAATTTGAAATGGTGGCACACAAACCCAAACAAGATTTGTGCTGATGGTTTTGAGTGTCTGGCGTCGTTAGGCAAAAAGTAATGAACCACTTCACCTCATAGTTCTGTTGTCTTTTACCTGAGGAGCTGAAATGTCATTGCATGATGTCATCTGTCCTTTTATGCTGTAGTCTATGATGCGTCAGATGCAGGATGCGGATGCCTCTTTCTCCATTGGCTCACGTGAATCGAGGGGCGTGTCTTTACTCAGCTACCTGGCTGACTCCACCCAGGCACCCAGTCCTCCTGCCTATGAGAAGACAAGCGACCCACCAACCAAACACCACCCTGTTCTAGACGCTAAATTACAGGATGACGAGCTACTGAAGACGCCCACAGAAGACGTATGAAACTGATCTTTTTTTTTTTTTTTAGATATATACAGTTTTATATTAAGTGGGATTTAATATAAATATAAAAAATATAAAAATATATAAACGTTTAAAATACATAATAATAATAAAATTTTAGTTTGTATCTTTATTATTAAAAGAAGTAGCTAATTTTAAGGTAAAAATAGAAAACAGTGATTGTACCTTTTTTTTTTTGCATTTATTTGTTTTTTATTTAAATGTAATTATTTTTTAATATTTATAATTATATAAATTATATTTTAGATATTATATTTTATGTATTTTAATATGAAGAATCAATCAATTTTTTTTCCTTTTTTAAATATAATTTTTTTAAAATAAAAATATTTAAACTATACTCTGATAATAATAAGTGTGAATTATATATAATGTCATATATAATATCTAATACAATGTTTATATATATATATATATTTGAATATAGAATAGAAATAGAAATTTGAATATTTTTATTATTTAAAAGCAATGACCACTTTTATTAAAAAAGAAAAATAATTTACATTTCACATTTTTATTTTTATATAATTTTTATATAATTTAATTGAATAAAACCATCATTTAAGCGTTTAACTGCTGTGGGGTTTCTTTTAAATATAAATATTTTAAATATAAAAAAATTAAAATGCATAATAATAATAATAAATTATATCATTTTAGTATATTATTTTATGTTTTTATTACTGAAAGCAGAATCCACTTTTATAATAAAATTAAGTAATTATGTATTTTTCATTATGTATTTGTTTTGAGTGAAATGGTAGTATATTAATATATTTTATATTTTAAGAAACCATATGCTAAGATTTTTAATATTTTTCAAAAATAATTGCCAAAATACTCATAAATGACTTCAAATTGCAGGCTTATATCATTTTTTTCCATTCATAACCCTAGGCTGAGGAGAGTGTGGAATGGCCATCAGAGACTGACACAGCTTCGCCCAGTCCTGCGGGCAGCAAGCGAGACTCCATATTCCTCTTCCACCGCTACAGCACGCCTGACATCCTCAAGCAAAATGGAGAGGTGACCCCCAGCACAGAGACGACGGCCCCGGATGAGGCCCCTGAAGAGGAGACCTTGTTCAAGCAGGGAATTGAAGACAGACTCCTGGTGAAGGACAGCAAAGCGGGCAGAGCACAGAAGAGAGCTGTGGCTAAGAGAGTCAGTTCACTGCTAGACGATCTGAATACAGAGCTGGAGGAAATGAGCAACGCAGAGACATTAAAGAAGCTAGATCTGCAGATACGCCAGCTGAACGAGGTCTTGAAGGTGAGATGGGTGGATGGATGGATGCATCAATGGACTGGTAGACTCATTTAAAAGATTTATAAATGGATGCATAAAAGAAATGAACGATCACTGTTTGAAAGAGTTCAAGAACATGTCTGGGATGTTTTTCACCCCAGAATCTAAATAAAGAAACAATTTGTTAAAGGCTTGAAGGATGAGGCATATTTTAGGACAAGTGATATATTTTTTAAATGATTGTTCTGACAACTAAGCACATTTCCGCCCCATATTCTTATTACTTATTTAATGATATAAAAATAAGAAATATTTCTATATTTAATATTTAATAGATATTAAATATAGAAATATTATAATAATTATTTATGTTTATATTTAATGTTTGGGTTAAAATAGACTTGAACATGTTTGCATGTAACGAAGTTAGGCTTTGCTCTTCATTTTCATATTTCCTGATGTTAGAAGGACCTCGACCCTCCACAGATGCCCTCATCTCAGACACTAGCAGTAGAGGAAGAGGAAGTGCTGGGCAGTTTCGACTTCCTCTCTGCAGATTGTAATGAAGATGAAATATCAAATATGGGCAGCATCAGACTTGGGTACACTGGGTAAGCCAACCTATTTTTAGCTGGTGTGTCTGAGTGAATACCTCAAAGAAATGTCAAAAAAATCTAAACAAAATCAAGAAAAAAAAAGTGTGTGTTTGT